TCGTATTTCTCGAGTTAAGAGCCTATCTGCTGTAGGCAGTATCATCTCTCTTTTTTGGAGTTGCCGAGAGAGGTCGCTGAGCTCTGTGAGCGCATCGTACATCAGTCCCAGATTGCTGACAAACGTTGCAGATGTGAGCACATCATCCAGGCCCTTGTACTTTGCTCTGTCTCTGGAATCCCTGCTCGTGTCGTTTGCAGCATTTGTGAAGTGATCATGAAGCACTCGGTAGTTTTCCCAGACTGCTCTGACGCTCCTTTCACTTGAAGCCACCCAGCGGATGGACAAAACACGCCCTATCACCAGGAGACGCTGTCCGACTGCTTGCGCACACTGCGCTAACTGCCTCTGATTTTTGGGGGAGGCATGGAACAAGGAATAGAGTTTGTCAAAAAAGATCTGGAAATGATTGAGCCCTGAGACCTCCTTGACCACATCCCCAACTGCCAGCTCTAGACGATGATTGGAGCAGTGCCACACAAACAGGCTTGGGAATTTACTACACAACTGGGTAGCAACGCCTGTTCTCTTCCCTAGCATGACTGAAGCCCCATCACATGCAAAAGAAACGAAACACTGACCTAAAAAGTCCTCGTTAAAATCTCTTCCAAGACACTCCATTAACGCCTTTGTGATGTCATCAGCCGTTGTTCCATCCAACTCGATCAGCTCCCAAAAAAACGTTTCGGGCTCAGCATCAGCTAATGCTGAGCGTAGACACACAACAAGCACCGTTTTACCACTAATAGTGGTAGATTCATCGACCAAAACACAGAGTTTTCTTTGGTTTTCTGTAATGTCTTTTGCCATTTTTTTCTTCAGCTCATGAGCTATGTGGTCGATGATTTCGCCACAGGTTTTATTGGAGTGCAAAACCCTGCCCACGTTCAGCCCATTCAGTTTCTGTACATTCAAATCAATTGGCATGTCTGTGAATGGCCGGCTATGTTTGCCAATTTTATATGCCGTTCGAAAAACTCTGATAGTGGTGTCTAATTCAGATTTATGCATAGACTGCACTTGATGTTGAATAGTTTCACATGAAGCAGATGTAAGGATGTCAGCAGCTTTTACATGGGCTTGTGATTCTTTATGTTCTTTGATTTTTTTTCTCAGGCTAGCTTGTTGTTTGCCCTTGTCAACACCGAAATGAGACACTGCACACTCACCCCATTCAGTTGACAGTTTCAGTCCTTGTCCAGTGTGTATTCCCAAAGATTTGACATCTCTGCATATCCGACATCCTAGCTTCTTATCTTTAAGAAGGAGCCATGCATTGGTCTTGCAAAAATATTGCACCTGGTCCGTTGTCCAGCAGTCAGGTGCATCGCTTTGCCCGGTGTTGGTGGTGGCAGTTGCGCCAGCAGCAGCTAACGTTAGAAGCTCTGGAGGAGGCTGCGGAGCTAGTGCTAATGCTAATGCACTAGAACTTGGAGCAGGAGGATCAACCAAAGAAAGCTCCTCATCAGACACAATTTCCAACACAGGCACAGCATTCTCTGTATTTGAAGTTTCTTCCGGCGACAACCGCTGTCTTTTTGCACTTTTATTAATCCACGCTAACATTTTAGAAATGCTAATTTGTGACGTGACTTGCTTTCCTTCTCTCGGGGGCGTGCCTGCTCTGTTCTATCACTCTACATAGCCACCCACTGGGTGGGAGTTGCACTGCATAAACACAACACACGTGCATCTAGGTATGTAAATTGTAAAGCATTAAAACATGGTTTTACTAACAGTTTTCAGTATGTTGTTACTTCGGCATTATTATTATTATTATTTTGAAACGTGTATTACTATTAAATCACGGTCAAATAGGTTAATTTTGAGTCGTTTCCACCACAGTATTTACATGGAGAAGATAAGCCCCGCCCCCTCTCCAGCACGTTCTGTTTGAATGACAGGAGTAAACAGCTGACAGCCGCTGTGAAACTCCAGCGGTTAGAGCGATGAGAATGTCCGTTCGGCACCTCATGACGCATCTACTGAGTACCGGGCGGCTGTATATATATATATGGATGTATAATAAGAACGGCGGGAGAGTGTTGAGTACTGGCACGGTGCATGAGTACCGGAGTACCGCCAGCATGCCGGTACTGAGCAAGAAGTGCCGGTACTCCATGGGTCAGAACCAGAAGTGCCGGTACTGCGTACCGGTGAGTACCGGCCCAATTCCAGCACTGACGAGACCAATCGAGGGCATTAGTGTATGATCTGTATGAAAGTGGCCATGTCGACAGGCCACATCATGTAGACAGCCAGTCACCCTCTGTGAGGCAGAGTCAGACCCACATTTGCGCAGCGTTGCGTTCACAATACATACAAACAATTCCTCAAGCCAGCAGGCCACTTAACAGGCCAGGCCATCGGGAAACCTCCCGATCCTCCCGATGGCCAGTCCGGGCCTGCCTCCACCCCTCGAAAGTTATCGCTGACTCAGCAATGTTTATGCAGCACTGCACATGGAGATGTGGACTCACAAGTCGCGCAGATTACGTACATATAAACCTACAAAGTACTGATATAGTAAATAATTTATTTTTTATTTTTGTGTAGTTGTATATTGCAATAATAACGTATGGTTGTCACAAAATCCCGCGGCACACCGTTTGGGAACCACTGCTCTAAAGTACCGGGTTGCGTTCCGATAATCCAAAAATCAACTCTTAAATTCTAACCCTATCTCCTATTCCTCGATGTGCATTTAGAGAAATGAGATGTCCTCAGGGTCGGCTCTAGAACAACTTGAATGGGGGGGCAATCATTTACCAAGGGGGGGCACACACTGCCGTCAACAACCAACACACAAACACCAACTTCAATTTAAAAAAACATGCTGTAAAGTCTATTGTCTTTCACACACATTGCAGGGGTGTAGTGCTATTGTATAGTGCACCTATGACTTGTGCATACATGCACGGTTGTGGCACGACCACCAAAACAGAAACATAAGGACAGAGGGTGTTGTTTTCTCATACTGATATTCTGCACAAACTGTGCTGTTGTATTTGCTGTAAAGTGTCTTTACTGTAGGTTATTTTTTTAATTATATGTACAGCACTTTGGCTCGACCAAAAATCGTTGAAAAATGTGCTATATAAATAAAACTTGATTTGATTTGATATGGACATAGGCCACCATATAAAAAGTGTGCAAATGTATTTAGTATCCTATCCATGTGAACATGTTTTAGGTGGGGGTGGACCTAACCAGAGGGTCTGGGGGCATGCTCCCCCGGGAAGATTATTTTTAAAATATTGAAGTTAAATGCATCAATCTGGTGCACTTTGAGAGCAAAATGAAGAGATCTATGGATACATCTCTCAACATCCATATGAAACAGAACTGTACACAGATTTACTTTTTCTTTATGGATATTTCACTAATCACTCCCCTTTAAACTGTATTCTTGTGTTACTGTCCTATAGTATTTCATACCCGTTTTTCATTTATTCTCTCTTTAATAACTATAATGATCATATAAAGGTGTTCCTCGAAAATACTTACATAAATCGTGACCAAACCGTTTGAGACCCACTGAGATAACTTACACTAAAGTGAACTATCTAAACACTGAGAGAGTCCTTACCTCACTGAGCTGACGTTATAAGATCCTCTCAGTCTGACAGGAGAGGACTCTCCTCCACCTTGGTGTAGAAACAGCCCTTTATATCCGTTAGCATAGCTAGCTAACCAGATGCTAACCACAACATTCCACGTTACCGCTCGCGCACTCACAAAATGCGCTCGTGCCACACACACACACAGAGCTTGAATGAAACACAGAGACCCATGTACTTGTACTGTACTGTATATCATATTATTTTCGATGGCTTTACTGTATAATCAGTGTAACAGACGAACAGATCGCCACCGGGCTCTCATCTGAACACACAGCCACGTAATGATAACAAAAAAAAGGTCGGGGGTCATTGGTCAAGCAACACACCAATCAGAGAGCAGCAGTGAGCACACCTCAGGCTGTGTTTTATATTTGTATTATTTATTTCTGATGTATTTCACACAAAAAACCTTTAGTGGAAACGTTTTCACTTCGCCTATATGATAAAAAAAAGAAAAAATCGGCAAAGTGACAAGGCTTGCCCACCCTGCGTTGGGGGGGCACAGTGACTCATTTGGGGGGGCATGGCCCGCGAATGACCCCCCATGACGCCGACCCTGGATGTCCTTCAACATGGCGCGCTGAAATCCATTTCCGGGTCACTACCGGAGGACCGAGGAGTCGAGGAGGGGAAATTAGAGTATTGAGAAACCTCTCTTGGTCTCTCCATGCTAGTCGCAGGGAAACGACGCAAGTGAGGGACACAAGGAATCCATTTAACCGAAGTGAAACGCAGCCTTAATTCCATGGGGGAACTAAGTGCTGGGAACAAAGTACTGCAAAGTAGGCCTACTTGGTGTGAAAGCGGCTAATGTATTTCAATTGGGACCAAGTACCAATTCCGTTTTTTATAAATAAATCTGTTATCGGCAAGTAAAAACAATATTTGGGCTTGGATTTTATAAAAACTAAGTAGCCATAATGCTTAACTACAGCGTTAGATATTAAAAAGGGGAATTTTGGAAAATCGTTGTTGTACTTTTACAACTTTTCATAAAATGGCAATTTGAAGTTTTATTAAAGAAGGGCAAATTCGCAATAGAAACAGGATTAAAACCGGGTGGTGCGCCTTCTTGTTATAGATATAGACCCCTCTCATTGCCATTACTCCTTTTTGCCAATTGGCATGAAAACAAACACACACATTCATACCAACATTCAAGGCCTTTCATGCCAAATGTGAGCCCCCTATAGGACAAGAGATGGCTGCCAATGTTTGGTTACATATGGCTGCTGGGTGATGCTAAAAATTAGGTAATGTTTTGGTTTTTATAAAATAACTCATTAGCCATAGTGTCTTAATATAGCTCAAGATATTACGATCAATTAAAAGCACAAAACTCGACTCAATGCCAACTACATACGATTAAATGTTTTTTTATTGACATTGTTCACTGTCAACTTGTTCTTGGACACTCTTTGATTCTGGCTTCTGCCTCTTTCTGGTGCAGGACCACACAGTGAACGTCAGGATGAAGATCAGAGCAACTCCGACACCACAGAGAATATACATCGTCACCTGAAACACTGAGAAACAGAGGGGAAACGATTTCATATTATACTGTTTTTCATCTATATATTACAGGTCTCAGATATATACAGAACATGTCCCTGAAGTGTTTGGCTCCAAACACCAAACAGATCATGGCAGCATTACCCATAATCCCCTCTGTTTCAGCCCTGTTTCCAAAGTGCTGATTCTCTGTCTGTTACTTTAGATGAAAATAAGGAGCCCCTCCCCATGCCCCTCTGAGAGAGATTTGGTTACAGAGACCTCAATGGTGCTCTAGGAGGAGATTCAGGTGATATCGTTATGACATCATAAAGTGGCCAAAATCTGATCAGCTCATTTTCAGACAGGTTTTCACATAAATGGATCAGGACAAAAAGAGAGAATCTTTGTTCCTGAAACTTTTAGAATCTCTTTTCACAGAGGGGACACATGTTGATGTAGAAGAGACATGGAGAAGAGGGGACACATGTTGATGTAGAAGAGACATGAATTAGAGGGGACACATGTTGATGTAGAAGAGACATGGAGAAGAGGGGACATGTTGATGTAGAAGAGACATGAATTAGAGGGGACACATGTTGATGTAGAAGAGACATGGAGAAGAGGGGACATGTTGATGTAGAAGAGACATGAAGAAGTGGATTTTGCATAATAGGTGACCTTTAAGTATTCTGTTTAGACGTGGTAACTTCAGTGTAGATCAGGACTTACTCTTATTCTGTCTGGCACACAGACTCTCCTCTGGCTCGGTGCTGTTCTGACCCAGCAGCAGCGGTCCTAAAGAGACCAGCTGGACCTGGTCCGACTCAGCGTCTCTCCTCTGTCTCTCCCCCTCAGAGGCTGTGGGAGCAGAGGATAACGTTTACCACATTTACACACCTCATGTCAGGGCTGTAATATAACTAAGTACATTTTCTCAATACTGTACTTTGGAGATACTTGTACCTTAACAGAGTTATATTTTATTTATGCGTTTAAGCTTTATTTAGTTTTTCATCTGTAGTAAAGCAAACATTTCCCAAATTGAGATCAATAAAGTACTTATCTATCTACGTACGTACCTATCCATCCATCTACGTACCTACCTACCTACCCATCTGCGTACGTACCTACCTACCTACCCACCTATCAACGTACCTACCCATCTATCTATCTACGTACCTACCTATCCATCTATCTACGTACCTACCTATCCATCTACGTACCTACCTACCTACCTATATATCTATAGTCCCTGGAAAGAAGTATATACAATTATGAGAAATATGCAAAAGTATGCTCACGATACAGGATATGCTAACAAAAACATATATATTACACAGCACCAGTACAGAAAGTATCAATAATTATTTTAGCACTAATTGAATACATTTGTTTCCGTCTCTATGCATAACAAGTAATTCTATTTTGGTATTAGAAGTATATTTTCAAATGTTTCATTACTTTTGCTGAAGTAGTATTTCTAACTCTGGACTAATTTCGTTTTTTTCTTACATTTTTTATATACCATTTTTACTACAATTTACAAATTAGTATTGCCACTTTTACCCTTTCCACCCTTGCCACATACAAACGGCAAATATTGTAATGTACTCACAGACGATGGAGCATTTCTGTGCACAGTCGACATCATCCATGCAGATTTCCACCCAACAGAAGAAGTACATCTGATGGACGGAATATACATGTTTTCAGATATATACTTTTGTTTTTACATATTTAGAAACGTGGATGTGATAAGCTTACCTCCTCCACATTGGGACTGCCGGTATGAGGGTCTAAGAAGGCAAACATCTCTACATCAAACCTCCGGACTTGGGAGTGGCTGGAGGTCTTCTGGTTGTTTTCAGGGATGACGCTCCTCATTTTGTCCAAAGGGTTGGGACATCTAACCAGGAGGAGAAAATATTGCACATCATTTCAATATTTCACAGGGATATACCAACATATTTGAAAGTGTGGCATAGAGGCTTTTAGGCTCCACAATTATTCCACATTTTATTGAAGTTGCAATATGGACTAGTGCAATATTCAAATGGCAGGAAGCACAATATTGTTGAAATACTTTGTTTACTTCCTGAACGAAGTGACATCACTAAGTAACACTTAATGCTTCTATTGGCTAGCGCTCCAACACATTGTACGTGATATGCTAAGGCGGGGGACATATCTAAGCTGGTTGACCAATCACAACAGAGCCGGCCAACTAACCAATCAGAGCAGACTGGGGTCTGGTTTCAGACAGAGGGTGAAAAGAGGTGCTGCAGCACAGACAGTATGAGAAAAATGCTTTTTGAACATTAAAGCATGGAGACATGTTCCAGTAGAGGCACAACATACTGATATACACCTGAACATAAGCAGGAGAGGACTCTTTAAAGTAGAGACACTACATACTGATATACACCTGAACATCAGCAGGAGAGGACTCTTTAAAGTAGAGACACTACATACTGATATACACCTGAACATCAGCAGGAGAGGACTCTTTAAAGTAGAGACACTACATACTGATATACACCTGAACATCAGCAGGAGAGGACTCTTTAAAGTAGAGACACTACATACTGATATACACCTGAACATAAGCAGGAGAGGACTCTTTAAAGTAGAGACACTACATACTGATATACACCTGAACATCAGCAGGAGAGGACTCTTTAAAGTAGAGACACTACATACTGATATACACCTGAACATCAGCAGGAGAGGACTCTTTAAAGTAGAGACACTACATACTGATATACACCTGAATATCAGCAGGAGAGGACTCTTTAAAGTAGAGACACTACATACTGATATACACCTGAACATCAGCAGGAGAGGACTCTTTAAAGTAGAGACACTACATACTGATATACACCTGAACATCAGCAGGAGAGGACTCTTTAAAGTAGAGACAATACATACTGATATACACCTGAACATCAGCAGGAGAGGACTCTTTAAAGTAGAGACACTACATACTGATATACACCTGAACATCAGCAGGAGAGGACTCTTTAAAGTAGAGACACTACATACTGATATACACCTGAACATCAGCAGGAGAGGACTCTTTAAAGTAGAGACACTACATACTGATATACACCTGAACATCAGCAGGAGAGGACTCTTTAAAGTAGAGACAATACATACTGATATACACCTGAACATCAGCAGGAGAGGACTCTTTAAAGTAGAGACACTACATACTGATATACACCTGAACATCAGCAGGAGAGGACTCTTTAAAGTAGAGACAATACATACTGATATGAACCTGAAAATGAGCAGAATATGTCCTCTTTAAAACCAAGCACTTCAAATGGTCGAAAGCGAATGGACTTGCAGGATGTTTGTCATTATAGTTTGTGTCTTCATGGCTGATTGCACCTATTGTCACTTTGGACGAAAATAAATCAAGTAATCTAAATTCATGGATCAAATTCGACAGCCCTATCCTGCATGCCTCTTAATATTTCCCAATCTCCTCTGATGTCACGTCTGAACTCCTCTCCACCTTACCCGTCATAGAGCAGCGTCCACACAGATTGTCTGGACGCAGGATAGGCGAAGCAGTCCCTCACTCGTAGGGAAAGAGTTGGGTCTAGTGACGGCTGGGCGATGGAGATCTCCACGTACAGAATTTTGCGCAGCGGAAAGGACACAGGAAGCTGGTCCTCAGGGAAGAAGGATGTGAAGGATGCATCTAGAGGAGCACATAGTCACAAACACAGTCATGAAGGTTTAGTTCAATTAATTTCCTTTTTTTTTTTTTTTTTTAAATTGGGTTTTTTCAACAGCATAGTTATTCTATCAGAGCATGTATCAAAAGTAGGTAAACAAATCTACACTTTATAGAAAAATAGGTGGAGTAACAATGTAAATACTGCTTAATACCAGAGCAAACTAAATCCCACACAGACAGAAGACAAACAAAAACGGACAAACAACAAATAAATAAATAGAAAACCAGTCAGTTAAAACAAAAATGTCAATAATAAACAATAACTGTCAGTACGACGGCAGCACCTCCTCCCCACGACAACCCGTCCAGTGTTGGGACCCCTCCAAAATGCAAAAGTTGAATCAGGAATGACTGGGAAGCTCAATGCATTTCCATACTGGACATTATTACCTTGGGCTATCCTCATCTGCACTCCGATGGTTCCCAGTCCGACCACAGTGGGGGGGTTGGTCACCGGAAACAAGGAGCGAAACACATCTGCACGCTTTAGATCTGAGGCGTCGTACTCACACTGCACCTGGAGACTGAAAGTACCAGAAAAATCAGTCACAACAGGAAAACTTTACTTGCACTAAATCATGGGAAGATTGTGAGGCTTAGACTAAAAAGCCACACAGACGTAATCGTTGTTTAACCTCTTATCGTTGTCGTTTTGTGACTTTGTAGTTTTTGTGCATCAATCTTTTTTATAGCCCAATATCACAAAGCATGCCTCTGTGGTTATTTCCCCCTTTTTTGTAGTGGTTTTAAGTCTTTTTGTGGTTGTTTTTACCATTTTCTTAGTTGTTTTATGTTTTTTCCAAGTCTTTTTCAGTTTGTATCACACTCTTTGTAGTTGCTTCGAGTCTGTGGATTTTATTTCCCCCCTTCATAATCTTTATGAGTCTCTGTTGTCTCTTTGCAGCAGTTTTGCATTGGTTTATTTGTAGTCTTTTTAATGTCTCTTTGTAGTCCCATCATGTTTCTTCGTGGTGATTTTGAGTGTCTTCCTGACAAGAGAAGCTAACATGTTTCCATCAGCCTAACAGTAGTGTGCAGAAGATGTTAAAAACAAACCTCACCTAAATGGAGAATGATTGATTGTACTTTTCGTGTGCAGCTCTTCCACTTCCACCTCATAGATCGTCACATCTGCATCCACCTAAACGCCAAGCAGAGAAGAAAGGATACAGACTCAAGCAAAAACAAACTTCTCCAAGCCAAATGCAAAGGTCATGCAACATAATCCAAATTAGAACCGAGAAAAGTCTGCTATTTTGTCCTAATTCTAGATATCTTAAGTTGGAATCAAACGGAAGCATTACCCTTAACTTTGCCCCACACTCCGTGAGTCTGATCTTGAAGACAGCTGTATCTGGTGTGGTGATCACAGGGAAACACTGAGGCTGGTCCTTCACTATGAGGCTGCTGGGATCAAAGGTCTTCTCTGTGTCTGAGGCCGCCACGGAGAAGACAAAGTGTCCGTCCACAGAACAGGCTGAGGGACACAGGGACATGTCAGCTTTACAAACAAGCATGCAGAGGTGGGAAGTAGTGGAGTACAAATACTTCGTTACTGCACTTAACTAAATGTTTCTGGTATCAGTACTTTACTCCACTACTTATTCTAACGACTTTTTACTTTGACTTCTTACATGTTGAACTCAAATACCTGTACTTTCTACTTCTTACATGTTGAACACAAATACCTGTACTTTCTACTTCTAACATGTTGAACACAAATACCTGTACTTTCTACTTCTTACATGTTGAACACAAATACCTGTACTTTCTACTTCTTACATGTTGAACTCAAATACCTGTACTTTCTACTTCTTACATGTTGAACACAAATACCTGAACTTTCTACTTCTTCCATGTTGAACACAAATACCTGTACTTTCTACTTACATTTTGAACACAAATACCTGTACTTTCTACTTCTTACATGTTGAACACAAATACCTGTACTTTCTACTTCTTACATGTTGAACACAAATACCTGTACTTTCTACTTCTTACATGTTGAACACAAATACCTGAACTTTCTACTTCTTCCATGTTGAACCCAAATACCTGTACTTTCTACTTCTTACATGTTGAACACAAATACCTGAACTTTCTACTTCTTACATGTTGAACACAAATACCTGTACTTTCTACTTACATTTTGAACACAAGTACCTGTACTTTCTACTTCTTACATGTTGAACACAAATACCTGTACTTTCTACTTCTAACATGTTGAACACAAATACCTGTACTTTCTACTTCTTACATGTTGAACACAAATACCTGTACTTTCTACTTCTTACATGTTGAACTCAAATACCTGTACTTTCTACTTCTTACATGTTGAACACAAATACCTGAACTTTCTACTTCTTCCATGTTGAACCCAAATACCTGTACTTTCTACTTCTTACATGTTGAACACAAATACCTGAACTTTCTACTTCTTACATGTTGAACACAAATACCTGTACTTTCTACTTCTTACATGTTGAACTCAAATACGTGTACTTTCTACTTCTTACATGTTGAACACAAATACCTGTACTTTCTACTTCTTCCATGTTGAACACAAATACCTGTACTTTCTACTTCTTCCATGTTGAACACAAATACCTGTACTTTCTACTTACATTTTGAACACAAGTACCTGTACTTTCTACTTCTTACATGTTGAACACAAATACCTGTACTTTCTACTTCTTACATGTTGAACACAAATACCTGAACTTTCTACTTCTTCCATGTTGAACCCAAATACCTGTACTTTCTACTTCTTACATGTTGAACACAAATACCTGAACTTTCTACTTCTTACATGTTGAACACAAATACCTGTACTTTCTACTTCTTACATGTTGAACTCAAATACGTGTACTTTCTACTTCTTACATGTTGAACACAAATACCTGTACTTTCTACTTCTTCCATGTTGAACACAAATACCTGTACTTTCTACTTCTTCCATGTTGAACACAAATACCTGTACTTTCTACTTACATTTTGAACACAAGTACCTGTACTTTCTACTTCTTACATGTTGAACACAAATACCTGTACTTTCTACTTACATTTTGAACCCAAATACCTGTACTTTCTACTTCTTACATGTTGAACACAAATACCTGTACTTTCTACTTACATTTTGAACACAAATACCTGTACTTTCTACTTACATTTTGAACACAAATACCTGTACTTTCTACTTCTTCCATGTTGAACACAAATACCTGTACTTTCTACTTACATTTTGAACACAAGTACCTGTACTTTCTACTTCTTACATGTTGAACACAAATACCTGTACTTTCTACTTCTCTCATTTTCCAAACAGCTGGTTCCTTTAGTCTGAATGTGTGTTTGGTGGCGTGATCATTATTCTTTAGAGTCATTGCGTGCCTATTGATTTGAACACGATCCGTGTATCCATCATTTCCTGGTCTTCTCTAAAGAAGAGGGACCAATGGAAACGTTGTCATGTTGCCGTTGTTCAGCATGGAAACATTCATTAGCTAACAATGACATTATTGTTCTATTAATATAAAGGGAGGTCAGGTACTCTTTAAAACAGCTGCTAGTTATGGGTACTTTTTACTTAAGTACATTTCAAAGCCTCTTTACTTTTACTTGAGTAAAGAAGTTTAGTCAGTACTTCTACCAGAGTATTTTTAAACACGAGTATCTGTACTTCTACTTGAGTAAAGGATGTGTGTACTTTTGCCATCTCAGCAAGCATTGTCAACATATGGACTTATTTTGGTGGGAAATGACACCATTATTAATCCTCATGAACAGCACTTCACTTGTACAAATGGCCACCTTACCATTGAGTCTGTAGTAGCAGGTTACATCTTCAGCGTCGTAGCAGCATCCCCGTTTGATGCAGGCCTCTCTAGAGATGCTTTGGTAACCACAGTCCACTCTGAGAACTCGTTCTGTGGCACAGTCTCCAGGGAAAGCTAGAGGAGAGGATGCATTAGTGTCTGAATCTGGCACAGTGAATGGTGTCATGCTAAAACGCCAGGCTAAGACCAGGATTCAACGGGAAATGTGTGGATTTAAGTGATAGAAACGGATGAAAAATGAAGGCTGACTTCACTTATAGAAAATATAACTGTCAATATGATTGTTACACTCATCAGCTGTCTCCACTCACACTCTGGGATGCGTTTGGTCCTCTCGTTGTGTCTCTTTATCAGAGGACAGCCGATGGTTACATTGAACCACCCGTCCTCTCCTGTTAGCTGAACGTTCAGAAGGACGATGACTCTGCTGCCCTGAGGATCAAAAGTCATGTCAATGTTTACGTTAAGAAGCCATGTACACATGTTGCGTTATATGCAAATATCTTTGTATATAGTAGATTGTGTCTCTTTGTAGTCGTTTTGAGTCTCTTTGTGATTGTCTGTGACTTTAAATGTCCTATTTCCTGTACATTTTTAAGTCGACATAAGGGTAATATACAAATGCACTATGGAAGATGATTAGAGGCACCTAAACATTTTAAGAATTAAGAACAAAGCCAGAAAACAGACTGATAACTCGGATAGATTTTTCACATTATGTAGCCCTAATCCTCATCCATAGTGCATGTGTATATTCCTTCTTTTGTAGACCTCTCAATATATAGAAAATAGTGCACTTTGAGCTTGAAATATCCATAAATGTTTCACTATTTTTACCAATCAATAGTGTTGTATTACTTGCAGATATTGTAGGAGAGACATAAGAGAAACACAACGTTGAACACATCCAAAATACAGTCCCTTATTTTACCTCAATCTGTGCATAGCAGCTGTCATATCTGCTGTAGAAGGCCAGGCTCTGGTTCCTCTTTCGGCCCAGTCCCACCCCACAGGAGCCCTCAGACTCAGGCACTGGGATGGCGGCCCCTGTCTTATCTAATAAAACAACAACAGTATTGATAATGGTGGGGGTACTTAGAAGTTAAATGATTGCCAACCATATTAACAGAGGTGAGAGAAGTACTCAGATCTTGTAGGCTACTTGAGTAAAAGTAGAAGTAGTCAGATCTGGTACTTGAGTAAAAGTAGAAGTACCAGAGTGTAGGAATACTCTGTTACAGTAAAAGTAAGTACATTGCATTCAAAATGTTCCTCAAGTAAAAGTAGAAAAGTATCAGCATCAAAATATAGTTAAAGTAGCGACAGTAAAAGTAGTCTTTGTGCAGATTGGTCCATTTTAGAATAATATATATGATATGGTTTATAATGATTGATCATTAAAAAGTGTTATATATTCAAGTAACTTTACTTGAAATATAATTCTAAATTATAATAATAAAGATAAGAAGATCACAAGATTGTATAAAAAAACATAACAATAATGTTAATAATACAACATAAAGTTTAGAATGTATATTGTATGCAAATAATTGCATATATGTTTATTTAAGTACAGTACTTGGGTAAATAATTCTACTTAGGTACTTTACCAGCACCAGACACTTTTTACACTGCTATGGACAATCTTGCACTAATGTAGGCTACATTCCCAAACTTATTGAAGTGACTATTATATTGATTGTTGCGTTTTTATTTGAATGTGTGCATATGTATACATGTGTCTGTTGAATGTAGGATATACATATTTTATACATTTATGTATTTTTGTATTCGGGATTGTGGGAAACGGTATTTCGTTCTCTCTGTCTGTGCACACAAACGGAAAGATTGACAATAAAGTTGACTGACTGACTGACTTACACCACTGCATTTTACGGGTGGGGAATAGAGTCCTGCAACGTATAATCCAATCTCACCTTTAACGTGCACATTACTCCTGACCAGAGGACCAAACACAGCTCGGATCCTCCGGTCAGAGCAGGTGACTCTGGGCACGTGCTGCCCCTCAGGTGTTTCGCTCAGCCGGATGGCGGAGGAACACCAGCAGTGCTGCGTCATCATGGCGAAAAATAAAGTAATCCAACACAGTTTCTCACAGTGATAATTCATCTTCTTGTGGTTTAGGTATGTTGAGATATACGGGTTTTTAAGTCCCGGAAATATCACGTCCTTTCTCCGACGCTGGGAAGAGGTCACGTGACTGGTGTTAATTAGAGTTAATTAGTTTGAAGCTTGTTGGGTTTTCTACCAGAGCGAGAGATTCAGCACGTGGCAGTATGTGCTTATTTATATTTTAAAAGTTGAAATGATGTCAAAAAAGAAAATATTAATACATGTCAGAAAACTTTACTCAAAGAAGTGTGTCTAAGAAATATGAATATTATCTTTAAAATATAGTTTCATACCAAAAACTATATATTTGAAAAATAATTACAAAAATAATAAGTGTTTTGATTATAATGTATGTATGTATTAAAAAAAATATTTACATTTGTCACATAAATTTCTATACAAAAAAAGAATTAATATTGAGAAAGACAGAAAGAGCTGCTGGGGTTAAAACTGCTTTGCAAAGTAATTCATCACGAGTTGGTTATTAATAAAGAAGGTCAATGTTTCAATAATTAAATAAGATTAAATAATACATATCGTGCTGGGGACATCTTTTGTCCCGAGGGAGCCATTAAAGGAAATCATTGCATAACTTAAAGGTCTCGCTAACCTTACCCCATCTCCCTTTGGCAGTTCTTACTCCCATATGATTATTACAACCTGTATTCACTGCTGCATCAATGAGTGTCTTTTTATACTCTGTCCTGACACATCTGTGATTTCAATGAACACTTAATAAGCTCACATATTAAATTCCAACGTGAACCCTAGCCTTCCTCTAATTTATAAATCATATTGGTTACATTTTATGGGAATAAGATGGTTTCAATCAACTCATAGACACCGTTACTCTATAATAAATTATTTCTATACGACTATGGGGATACCAGAACATTAAAGATTCAGATTCAAGATTCAAAGGCTTTATTGTCATAGCGTATACACTAGCGTATTTTTGGCAATACAATGAATCTGATGTCTAAGGCTCCTCGAACAATGCAAAGTCAAATAAACCTACAAAATGAAATAGTGCAAGAAGAAATAGGAATACAATCCTGCAAGAGAATTGATTGATTGATTGATTGATTGATTGATTGATTGATTGATTGATTGATTGATTGAAAAGTTTATTAACAGCTTGTATATTGGGTACAGTACAGTACAGCTCAAAACATACAATTGTTAAGGGGATGCAGACCAGAGAAAGACTTTCGTCTTGTTTACATCAGGGTCCCCCATTTCCAATTCATCTTGTCATTTAAGACATATAAGACATATTTGACATACAGATGGCTTATTTACAATTTACATACAGGTGATTTTTTTACATACAGATTGCTTGTTTACAATTTTCATTTTAGATTTCGTTCTAATACATCCTAACCGGACATTTAAGACATACCAAGTCTACAGATATACAGTTAGTAACAGAGTCTAAAATGCGAGTATATACATATATGGGGGGGGGAAGCTGTCCATTGAACGACAGGTTGAGATTTGTACCATTACCGGGGTCAGTTTTGCAATGCTCTCCCCCGAAGGTGCTCTTTAAGAGAGGTTTTGAAGGTAAGTATAGTTTTACTTTCCTTTACAGTTGTGGGAAGAGCGTTCCACCTTGATGTGGCATCATTGCGAAACGTGTATTCCCCCCTTTTTTGTGCCAAATCTGGGTTTCACATGATTTGTGGAGCTCCCTCTGGTGTTATGATCATGGTATTCCTTGACCTTTGGGAAGAATTTTGACATGTACATGGGTACCATAGAGGTGTAGTGGATCTTGTAGACCAGGCCCATTGCAAGTAGCTGTACTCTGTCGTCTACTCTAAGCCATCCTAGGTTGTCAAAGTGGGCAGAGGTGAGGTGGGTTCTAGATGAAAGGTCAAGCAGTAGTCTGACCAGTTTATTTTGCGATGTTTGAAGTTTTATTTTTAGCGCCTTGGAGGTGCTATGTTACCATGACGTGCAAGCATAGTCATAGTACGCTTGAATGAGTGCTCCTGCCAGTTTTCAGGGTGTTTTTGTTTACCAGAGAGGAGATCCGGTATAGGAATCTAGTTCTTTGATTGACTTTTTTTATTACATTGGATGTACAAGTGACACAATGGTGCAAGTAAAAGGCAGAAATATGTCAACTAAATGCATGTAAAATATAAAAACAGACATGATGAACTCCAATGGAAGTCAACACTATTATTTGACCCTCCATCACATGTCCAACAGTGATCTAATGGACAGTATGATGACTCGGCAGCTCTTATGATAATAGGGTTTAATCTCCACTCCACGGTCAATCACGAGTTGTGGCACCGTGTCGTGACGTAGGCCGTGACGTCAGTTTGTTGGGCTTCCCTGGTGGTCAGACTTTAGCACAGAAGCAGGAGATCAGAAAACGTCTCCAAAACATGGCTCTGAATCGGAATCACTCGCAAAACGGCGGCGTTTTGATAAACAACGGAGAAAGGTACGTGTGTTACACTCCTCGAATTATGTTTACTGAATTTATCATCTAGCTTTTGCCTCTTTTTCCTGGCTTGTTTACCTTTCTACTTTCCCAGTGCGTAGTCAACATTATGCTAGCCGGCCTGGCTAACATTAGCATAAATAGCTAACGCATTTGTTCCACTGTTGACGTTTGCGTCAGCGGTGTATGTCATGTCCGGACAATTGAAATATTGTTATTAGTGTTTGAATGCGGGCTTTACAATATTAACTGGCTTTATAGCCTCTGTATATGTTGACAGTTGGTTTAGCTATTTAGCTAGAAGGCTAACTTGTTACGTTAGCCTACTACAGAACCGGAAGTAGCGTTAGCTTTCCTTTGGGTGTTGTTGACATAACAGTTATCCAATGTATTGGATAATATGGGTTAGAAGCAGCGGTGTAATGTTACTAAGTATATTTACTCAAGTACTGTACTTGAACTGTACCAAATTGAGGTACCTTTTACTTGTCTTGGGTGTTTTCATACTGTGCTACTTCATACTTTCACTCCACTACATTTTTTTTAAAGCATTAGTTACTTTGCAGATCAAGAATGTGAATATAAATCAAATACTTAATTAGCTTATATCACTAGAGGTTCAGCTACCCAGTATTATATGAAGTAATACAAATAAACCCCTCTTTTAGCAAGTGCAACAATGAAGAGATGAGCAAAGTAATGCATCAATACTTACAATAATTGAAAATATATGGTGCTTAAATGGGCCAATCTTCATAATGAGTTATTTTACTTTTGGTACTTAAGTATATTTTGATGTTATTACTTATTTACTTTTACTGAGTATTCCTACACTGTGGTATTTTTACTTGTGCTTAAGTACAAGATAAGAGTACCACCTCTTGGTATATATCTAATTGACGTTTAATGAATTCTTCTTGCTTTTATCAAGGTTGTCTTGCTCCACGTTAATTCATTCATTTGTGTTTCCAATCTATAGAAGTCATATATTTTACTTTCTTTTTCACAGCCAGGAAATTATCAGACTGTTGTGTGAAGTGTGTTAGCTGCATGTTTTGAAGTACAGTAGTTTCAAGCATTGCTCACATGCAAATTCTTACATCATCGTACATTAGATATTTTCCAATGACTGCCTAATTGTTTGACCTGCTGCTTTTCTTCCTTTCACAGTGTTTTAAGGGAATGCAAGAATGTGGAGCTGTCATTCAGCGATGTCAACTGCAAGACAGACCTGCTTAAAGGGACCAAAAAGGGCACCGTTTATCTCACACCATACAGGGTACAACCAGAAATACATTAAATATATGTCATATGTTTTGCTGTGGAAAGTGGGCATCATGCTGTAACTCTCCTCACCTGATCTCTCGTCTCTTCCCTTGTGTAGCTGCTGTTTGTGTCCAGTAATACCAAGGATTGCATGGGGTCAGCCATGTTCCCCTATTATCTGATGAAGGGCTGCAGCATTGAGCAGCCAGTCTTTAATGCAAACTACATTAAAGGGACGGTGTCTGCTGAGGCTGGTGGTAAGTGACCTTTGATTTTCACTCAGAACCACAAAAATATGATAATATGATATGATAAAAATATGATTTCTGTCATGAATTGAATTGTCCTATCGGGTTTGACTACGGTCGCATTCACACCAGCCTTGTATAGTCCGGTTGAATCGAACCCTGGTGCGTTTAGCCGCTTGGTGCGGTTCGTTTGGGTCGGTGTGAACGCAGTCCGAGACCTCTGAAGTGAACTGAACAACCGGACTCTGGCCCGCCTAAAGAGGTGGTCTCGGAGCGCTTGCTAGCGAACTCTGGAGCAGTTCATCGCTGGTGTGAACGCAGTCCGAGACCTCTGAAGTGAACTAAACAACCGGACTCTGGCCCGCCTAAAGAGGTGGTCTCGGAGCGCTTGCTAGCGAACTCTGGAGCAGTTCATCGCTGGTGTGAACGCAGTCCGCACCAAAACATAGGAAGCGTAGTATTTATGTGTCACAAGAACGCGGATGTCTTCAAAATCGTTAGCGAAAGAGTGAAGCAGAATGAAGTGTTGAACAGTGTCGTGTAAAGTAAGAAGAACTATCAAACAAAAAAACTATACATAAAAGTCAGAGCCACCTGTCGTCGGTGAAACCCCCTCCTTACTGCAGAACGTCTCATTATATGTGTTATAATGTTTTTTATTGCACGTTGTCTGATTATATAATCAAAGCGAGTAGTCTACGCCCAGCTGCAGTCTTTCTTAACCATGCATGGCATCCATGAAAAGTTTCAGTCTGGCTTCAAACCCATGCACAGCACTGAAACAGCCCTTTTTAAGAGTTTTTAATGATCTGCTCCTAGCCGCCGACTCAGGTAGCCCAGCTGTCTTGGTGCTGTTAGACCTGACAGCTGCCTTTGACACCGTGGACCATAGCATCCTGTTGTCACGGCTCGAACAGTCCGCAGGCATCACAGGCTCTGCCCTTGCATGGTTCAGGTCCTACCTGACAGACCGTAGCTTCTCTGTGCAGCTAGGTGCCTTCTCCTCTGCTAAAGCCCCTCTTACCTGTGGGGTTCCCCAAGGCTCGCTTCTGGGCCCCATCCTTTTTCTACTGTACATACTGCCCCTAGGTTCAATTCTCACAAAACACAACATCCCCTTCCACTGCTACGCCGACGATGTACAGATCTATCTGCCACTCATTTCAAATGACAACTCATTACAGCTATTGATGAACTGCTTAGCAGAGATCAAATCCTGGCTGAGCCAACATTTCCTCAACCTCAATGAGAGCAAGACTGAGGTTATCTTTTTTGGAGCCCAACCTCCAGCCTCCCAGGTTGATATTCTGGGCTCCCTCAAAAATAATATCCTCCCCTCTGTCACGAACCTTGGAGTGACCTTCAATAGCGCTTTTAAATTCGATAAGCAGGTCAGCAGCGTAGTCAAAACCTGCTTTTTTTAAATACGACTATTGGCCAAGACCAAGTCGTTTTGATCTTTTAAAGACCTGGAAAGGGTTATTAACGCCTTTGTTACCTCGAGGTTGGACTACTGCAACGCTCTGTATGTGGGTATGGACCAGGCGTCAATTAAACGCCTGCAGCTAGTGCAGAATGCAACTGCACGTCTTCTCACTGGCCACAAAAAGCGTGACCATATCACCCCAATTCTGGCCTCACTGCACTGGCTTCCAATTCGGTTCAGAATTGATTTTAAACTCCTTTTATTTGTTTTCAAAGCCCTAAATGGGCTGGCTCCGGCTTATATAGCTGAACTCCTCCATCGCTACACCCCAGCCTGAGCTTTAAGGTCAACTGATCAGCTGCTGCTGGTAGTGCCCAAGACCAGGCTCAAAACCCGAGGGCACCGAGCCTTCGCAGCAGCTGGCCCTAGGCTCTGGAACACTCTGCCCCTCCACGTGAGGTCGGCCCAGACCCGAGGGGTTTTTAAATCTACGCTTAAAACACACTTCTTCTCCCTGGCCTTTTAGTCAGAGCGGAGCACGACTCCTGACTTTCCCCTGTGTTTCTATATATCTGTTGTAATTTATTGTCTTTTATTATGAATGTAGTAATGTGTTTTTAAGTGATTGTAGTATTTATTACATGTACAGCACTTTGGCCCGACCAAAAATCGCTTTTAAATGTGCTTTATAAATAAACATTGATTTGATTTGATATAATCACATCCGCCGTTGCTGTTGATATGATCTCCAGATTAACAGCAGCATGAGAATAACCTGCCGAAAGTGCCGATGCTCCGTGGCGGAGGCTCCGGTAGAAATTGCCGGGATTTGCGTTTTTACCCCCTTAATGTCTGACCAATGGTTGAACAGCATTTCCGTGCACATGACTTGTGTTTAAAGTTTATAGTCCGTTTGAGTTTTGCCCGAACGCAAACCGAACCTTCTGAAAAATGAAACAATGTAACAAACTGTGGTCTGGTGCGCACCTGAGAAGCGACTATTAGGTGTGAATGCGACCTAAATGTATGTATGCTGCTTTTTTGTATTGATGTACAGCACTTTGGTCAACTCTGTTGTTTTTAAATGTGCTATATAAATAAAGTTGGATTGGATGAATGGTCGGACTGAAGCTTTCTGTATTTTCTATTAAAAGTTGTTGTGTCTCCTCAGGTGGCTGGGAGGGCCAGGCCAGCTTCAAGATGTCATTCCCCAGCGGAGGAGCCATAGAGGTGGGACAGCATCTCTTCAAACTGGCCACTAATGGTTTGTATGATACTTATCTAATGTTTTACAATGCTTAATATTCCTTTACTTCTCCTACAAGGTTATCTACAAGGGTTTCAGACTATATCTACGATTGAAGGTGCTGACAGTCAGACAACCAAAACATTGCTATCAGTGTTCTCCCCACTGTACCTGACCGACTAGCATTAGCTCGTATCTGCCCTTACCCAATCTTTGTATTTCTAACCTCCTCATCCACCAGCTCAACTTGAATTTTAACGCAAAAAGCAAATGTAGGAAAAACTTGGCCGTCTTATTGTTCTCTGTCTGATTAATTATTATGACTTAAGTCAATTGTGTAAAGTGGAACAATGTGTTTAAATGTAGGTTGTTCAAGAAATGTATTCTGGGTAAAATACAGGTGACATTATTCCTGCTCTAAACCTACCATATTAGTTTTCATGGATAGATTATCATTTAAAATCTAATTATCATGAGTTTAGCCTTAGCATTTCCTGGTTATGTTATACAGTCTCCAAAGCTGCGTCTTGTTTGGCTTTCTTAGCGTGAACACCCTTTACGTCCTATCATCTGACTCACAGCTTGTTCCCCATGGTAGGAATCCCATCGTGCTTTGGTCATGAAATAAGTCTCTTCCTTCACACAATGAATGGCGGCTCTGTTAACCGATAAAACCCACACTCTTTGGTATCCCTGTTGCGTAACACCTTTTCTCCTCCTCCTGTTTCAGCTTCTCGCGCGGCCCCTGCACAAAACGGTGCCGCCTCCTTCGGCTATCCTTCTCCTGGCATGACGAACGGCTACGGCCCAGCTCCTCCCGCTCCCCCCGCTCCTCAGGGGTACACCTACACACCCTCTCCCCAGCAGAATGGGTTCTACCAGGGCCCCCCCCCTCCAGCTGCCAACATGGGCTACCCCATGCCGATGCCTGCTACAGGTACACAATTCAGTCCTTTGCAGTGTGATGTTTGAAGGTTTGTCAAACAGCTTGTGTGCATAACTTAAATAATATGAACTCAAGGTCTACTCACTAGTTTTTTGTTTAGTTCTTGTTCTAGTTCTTTCACTCTCACAGTGAATACCTTTTTAATTGGTGCTGCAACAATTCATCTTGATTAATTGTTAGGTATACAACATGTCAGATAAAAGAAAAAGTCCATCCCAGTTCCTCAAAAATCCAATTGATGTCTTGTTTTGTCAGACCAAAACATAACGATATTAACTGTCAAATAAAGCAGAGACAATCAGAAAATCTCAATATTTGAGTTACTAAAAAAACAAATGTAATGACATTTTTGCATGAAAAATGAGTTTGATCATTATCTATTATCAAGATATCTGGCTAAATTGTTTCTGTCAATCAAAAATAGCTGCAGCTCTAATTTGAATAAACAGTATTGTGTTTTTCTTGCAATACAATCACCTCTTTGTTTTAACCTAGAACAAGCCCTTCATAAAGATACAAATAATAATAGTTTGCCATATTTTTTCTGGTTATCAACTCATCCATTTGTCCAATTATTGTTGCAACCGTTCCTATAATGTAGAACAATCCAGTATATACCCATCGTTTCTTTTAGCCTTAAGCCTCCTCCACACATATTTTTACATTTCTTTATGCAATTTCTGTGTCCAATGTCCTCGTAAAACCCCCGGCTCGAGGCCCTGTTGTTTTTTACTCATTTCCCCAAACAGACTGTAACCTTCTTTGTCCTCTCTCTGTGTTTCAGGAATGTACCCGGCTGGTTTTGACTACATGGCCCCGCCTCCCCCGTACCCTGGGCCTCCCCAAAACTGGGCTGCTGCCCCCCCCCAGAACTGGGCCGCAGCACCACAAGCACCTCAAGGTCTCCTACCATCTCCTCCTCTGTTTATTTCTGAATGTATGATCTCTGTATGTCTGTGTCACTGCACCCGTCAGATTGGATCCGTCTGCCTCAAAGTGAATCACTTCGTAGCCCGCCACCTAAAAAGGGGTTCTGATGTCTCATCCGTTACACGTCCAAACTCTACATCTCCTTGGCCCACTTAGTTCCTCTGCACCTTGTGGATGTCAGGCTCCCCCTGCATTGGGATGGGCTTAATACACTCTTTCAGATTGGCGTATCTTTATTTTAGGAAGAGCTCGAGTTCTCGGGGGTTTGCCTGCAGGCTTTTGTCGAAATGATTCCTGGAGCTTTTTTGTGCTTCACATGACTAATGCGCCCCTCGCAGTGTTTTGGAGCCGCAGCATCTGTTCCTAAATACGTCCAGTAGTCATCGCTGTCCGTCCTAATCTCCCCGTCTTTGTCACTTCTCATTTTCTGCACAGGTAACTCCAAGGCGGCTGAAGCTGCGGGCTCTGCGTACTACAATCCTAGCGACCCTCACAATGTCTACATGCCCATGGTAAGGTGTTCTCTTGTTTTTCTCCTCAGTTAAAAGTTGTGTAGAAGTGAACAAATCAGGTCCTATGTCTTGCCCTTACCACTTCAACCTAAACCACAGAGTAACTATCATGAGGTCATGGAAAAATGTGAAGGAGAATTCATCAGGGTTTAGGAAAACAGACAAAATGGTGATTCACCAGTCGATGTTATCGATGTGCGTCTGCTTTGGCGAACACTACAATTTTCCGTAGTTTGACTACTAGAAATGTGTCTAAATACTTCGCCCTTTCAGTCTTCATCTATAAAACATTTATTCGGGGAACCATTACCCCTTGACTTTCCCATGTTGTTTTAATTGGGGCTTTATAAACACGGACAGAAACATACAGTTTATTACCATGGTTATTTCTTTCATGCTAGCTCTTATTGTTTTTACATAATTAACATGTGAAAACCGCTTGGAAACATCAACATGCCCGTAAAAGGTCAAAGACAAAGCAGACATTTCTACAAATAACAAAACAAAAAGAAATGTCAGTTCAGCTTACTGAGGCAGTTGTAGTTTGTAATCCTGGTTTCTTGTCCATTTCTCAATTTTTTTTTTCAACCTGACTCGATTACAAAGGTTTTTATACATTTATAGGACAGCATTATCTCCTCTCCTTTCGTAAAGGATGCTCCAGTGTATCCTACGCTAAAGGAGATAATAAAGGAAGCATTGAAGCTCCTTTCCTATCATCTAAAGAAATCAAAACAGCTCTTATCATGGCTGCCACATTATGGCGCATTTCCACTGCAGGGCCTCGCACGGCTTAGTACGGTATGGCTAGGCCTCGTTAGGCCTTCGTAGGCCAGGCTCACTTTCTGCTGCGTTTCCATTACAGTTTAGTAGCTGGGGCAGTAAACTATAGTAACTCAGTGTAGGCGGAGCCGTGACGTCATCTTCAATGAGAACCACAGAAAACCGTTAGCTGTTAGCACTCAGAGCTCACAGCTCCTCATATCCATGGGCGTCGCAGCCATTATATGAGGGTGGGACAAGTCCCCCCACCTTTTAAAATGATTAGTTTAGACCCCCCCCACTTTTACCATGTGGAAAGTCCGTGAATCGGTCTCTCCACTCGCCACTCTTTGTAGAGCGCTGTGTCAGTGCTTCACTATCAAATCCATTCCACTTGATTTTTGAGAGAATGCCAAAATCAATGAAACTCCGTACCATGTTTTCACTGCTACTTTGTACCAAGGCAGATTCTCAGAGCCGTACACATGCTGCGTTTTTTTGTGTAGCTGTGTCGTTAGTTATAAAATAATTTCCACGCTGCGAGGCTCCAACGCTAACAGTTCACGAGCGTGCTCCACTAGCACCCGGATATAAGGCGCTGTTATTAAAGAGGTGGAGGGAGAGTCCTCTCCTGTCAGACTGAGAGGCTGATAACTACAGCTCAGTGAGGTAAAGGACTCTCTGAGGGTTTAGATAGTTCACTTTAGTCTAAGTAGTGGGTATCAAACGGTTTGGTAATCATTTATGTAAATAAGTATTTCCAAGGCACACTTTTATATGATCATTTACTAACCGGTATCAGTATGTTGTTGGTTCGGCATCATTTTGAAAGGTGTATTACAATTAAATCACGGTCAAATATGTTCATCTTGTTGTAGTTGTACTTGTAGCCCCCTTGCCAGCGATTCTCTCACTAGTTTAGCATACTCAGCCCGACTCAGTCCGGTTGTTGGCCCGGAAAGAACCTGGATTTTGGAGGGCCAGAAAAACTGAAACAGTACCCGTTAGCCGGAACTACCTCAAGATGCGCCAAGATACCCTGAAATGTCTCTCCGTTAGCAACCTTCCTCAGAGAAAAACTGTATTCAACCGCATCCTAACCGTTTCCTTTCCCTCACAGGAGCGACCTCCACCATACGCACCTTACCCAAACTCTCCTGAGAAGAAAAGCAACTGAAGCAACATCACTTCAACCACACTCCTCCTCCTCCTCTTCCTCTGTATCTGAAACAAACCCTAAAGCAAGGATGATGGATACTCAGAAAAGAAAAAGCAAGTTAACAGACGGTTCAAAGATGTCAGCGATAATCCACTAACGACATTTTACAAAATCAATCACATCTTTAAATACCAATTTACTTAAGTTCATGTAAAATGATTGACAACTTGTAACCATAGCTAAACTCATTAACATTCTCAATGATGGGGTTTACTTCTGTCTAATTCTCTAGCATGTAGGGAAGAGCGGAAAACAGAGTGCATTATGGGGAATGTATTTTTTAAGACGGATTTATTACCAAAACATTTTCTAGCAATTTCTGGATTGCGGTTCCTGTAGTTATTAACAATAGCAACTATTATTATTATTATTATCAAATAAGTATTTTGCAGTATCATTGTAGGCACAGTGTTCCTATACAGTTATGCATCAAAATACAATATAAATATGTGTTTAGTGATATGATTGATTCCCATACTGTGACTAAATGTGATCCTGCACTATATCACAGTCCAAATAATTCCATTAATTCTCAATTTAATATATGAAGTAGAGGTTTTTGTTGTGAAAAGGAGCAGTGCATTGTTGGGAAAAAGGGGGATCATTTTACATAACAAGTCTATGTATGTGCAATATATTTCAAACTCTCTTAACGGGGTCAGAAACGTCTGAAACCAGAACTGTCTTTGTGTAATTGCACTAGTGTGAGGTTACAGGGCCCATAGGCTCGCTGTTTGAACCTCTGAATGCAACCCATTAACTCTGGATCGAAGTGTACTCCCCCTCATTGAACATCAGTATACAGCCGTTTTATTTTGCACACAGTTGAAGTGGATTTGTCTTGTTTTAGTTTGCTTGAATTAACCAAATGTGTGTATATTAATATCTCTTTTGCAGTTCTTTTTTCCCTTCTGCTGAATTTTGTCTGTCGATTTAAATCTAATAAATAAATCATTTATTGAATTTTGGTATTTTTGTCATTTATCGGACAGTCTTCAAACGCTGACATTTGTTTGTATATATTATATATAATATTACTAGTGTTTTACCTTTTTTATTTTTGACATACTTGTGCTTTATCTGAGTATTTTCTATTTTATGATGACATATACTTCTACTCCACTACATTCATTTACCACACTTAGTTACTAGCTGCTCTTTACATATAAAAACATGCTTTTATGATATAATGCGCTACGGTATTATTGAATTACCCAGCCATTACCCCGGCTCAACATGACAAACTACAACATGACAAACTACAACATTACAAACTACAACATTAAACGATCCCACACCACTCCGCTCCTCCGCTCCCTTCACTGGCTTCCACTAACTGCTTTGATCCACTTCAAGACACTGGTACTTGCGTACCATGCTGCGAATGGATCTGGCCCTTCCTACATCCAGGACATGGTTAAACCGTACACCCCAGCACGTGCACTCTGCTCTGCATCAGACAAACGGCTCGCTGCACCCGCACTGCGAGGGGGACCCAAGTTCCCATCAGCAAAAACACGTGGGTTTGCTGTCCTGGCTCCAAGATGGTGGAATGAGCTCCCCATTGACATCAGGACAGCAGAAAGCTTACACACCTTCCGGGGGGGGACTGAAAACTCATCTCTTTCGACTCCACTTCGAGCGATAGAACTATTAACAAAGCACTTATATTCTAATAAAGGACTGGCTTATCTAAAGCCAGTTGAGTAGCACTTGAAATGTTTTGGCTCTATGAAACCTGATGTACTTATCATTCTGTTTTCTTCAAGTTTGTATCTTCTTGGTCGAATGTACTTATTGTAAGTCGCTTTGGATAAAAGCGTCAGCTAAATGTAATGTAATACCACATGTATTTATCGGTGATAAAAACAGAATGATATTTATAATACTGTTAAAGGGGGTGCTATTATGTTAATTTCCAGGTTCATATCAGTATGTAGTGTCTCTACTTTAAAGAGTCCTCTCTTGCTGATGTTCAGGTGTATATCAGTATGTAGTGTCTCTACTTTAAAGAGTCCTCTCCTGCTGATGTTCAGGTGTATATCAGTATGTAGTGTCTCTACTTTAAAGAGTCCTCTCCTGCTGATGTTCAGGTGTATATCAGTATGTAGTGTCTCTACTTTAAAGAGTCCTCTCCTGCTGATGTTCAGGTGTATATCAGTATGTAGTGTCTCTACTTTAAAGAGTCCTCTCCTGCTGATGTTCAGGTGTATATCAATATCAGTATGTAGTGTCTCTACTTTAAAGAGTCCTCTCCTGCTGATGTTCAGGTGTATATCAATATCAGTATGTAGTGTCTCTACTTTAAAGAGTCCTCTCCTGCTGATGTTCAGGTGTATATCAGTATGTAGTGTCTCTACTTTAAAGAGTCCTCTCCTGCTGATGTTCAGGTGTATATCAGTATGTAGTGTCTCTACTTTAAAGAGTCCTCTCCTGCTGATGTTCAGGTGTATATCAATATGTAGTGTCTCTACTACATGTCTCCATGCTTTAATGTTCAAAAAGCTCTTTATTTTTCTCATACTGCCTGTGCTGCAGCACCTCTTTTCACCCTCTGTCTGAAACCAGAGCCCAGTCTGCTCTGATTGGTTAGCTGGCCGGCTCTGTTGTGATTGGTCAACCGCTTAAAGATATCCCGCCCCTTAGCCCCTTTATCACGTACAGTGTGTTGGAGCGCTAGCCAATATGTGTGTTTTCAATACAATGTTTTACAGATTAAAGAAATAAATACAACTAGAATTATACGTACTGAATAATATATTTATTATATTATGAAACACTATCAAACCTGAACATTATATTCACTTTTCACAGGTAAATCACACGGCACAGATGTATCGCTTTACACAATAAATAAAGATGGCATTGTCATGCACTAAACACAAAATATTCACAACACATAAATGCTTCCTGGATTCACATCTGATCACAGAGTGTATAACAACATATAACTAGCTAGCTGATTTCCACTCAATTCATAAAGACTAGATCTACTTTATGGCTCAAATCCTATTTCTTTCCCAATCCTTACTCAGGAAAAGGAAGTGTGTTTTTTACTCCCATTTAATAATCTATCATTCTATATATATTCTCTGTAGACGTTCAACATTGTAAACCAAATGAAAGATGTGCAAAGCCCTACTGTGTGAAATTTAGCGAGATGAGAGCATTACAGGGACTATATGGACTTACGTGCTATTCTAGGACCGAAAAACTCCATTTGGTTGTATTGAAATGCAGATTAAATTACTCGCTAAAATACATTTCTGCTCAACAGAAGCCTATAATCTCTATCTATCCATTTGGGTTATGGTTTGTCAAGTGCTCTTACCAATCAAATACTGTTCGAGCTACAGGAGTGTCGGCAGTGAAAGTGTAATGGAGGTTAGATCAAGGACTCGGCATCAGATTTGACTCAGATTGGATTGATTGTCTCCTACGGCTCCTCCTGTAGAAACCACACCTCGTTTCGGCGTCCGTAAGGCTTCAGCGGCGGGTCGTAGCTGCAGCAGAAATACTGCTTACGCTGGAAGGGAGCCGTCTCACCCAGAGTACGAGTCAGACGCAAGGCCTCCACTCGGTACTCACTCTCCGCCGCGAAGCCTCCAAACTGCCGGCTGAAATGGAAATAGAAATCTTAAAAAGGTGGAGGATTACAGTGTCTGTTTCAGAATCAGAGGAACTGTATTTGTGCCACTAGTTAAAGGGGTCCTATTATCATCTTCAGGTTCACATGTGTATTTAGTGTCTCTACTGTGACATGTCTCCATGATTTAATGTGCTGCAGCACCTATTTTCACCCTCTGTCTGAAACCAGAGCCCAGTCTGCTCTGATTGGTTAGCTGGTCGGCTCTGTTGTGATTGATCAACTGCTTAGAGATGTCCTGCCCCTTAGCCTATCACGTACAATGTGTTAGAGCGCTAGCCAATAGAAGCGTGAGTGTCACATAGTGATGTCACCATGTTAGAGAAGTAAACAAAGGAGTCCAACTTTCCTTAGGACCTATTTGACACCCTGTTCTTTTTCCTGTAAGCCACTTGAGATAACTGTTGAGAACGTTGTCTCGTCTGCGTCTTCTGCACAACTTGCCCGTATCTGTGACTTTTAACAGGTTGGCACCGTGGGAATTGTAGTCTTTGTATCTTCTATGGACTACAGAGTTTGCCTCAAGGTGGGGATATTATTTGACCTTTTACACTTAACAAGAAAATGTCATTAACGGCTCTATACCTTGTATATATTCAAAGGTCCCCTATTACACTGTTTTTCATCAATATATTACAGGTCTCAGATATATACACAGATCATTGCAGCATCCCATAATCCCCTCTGTTTCAGCCCTGTCTCCAAAGTGCTGATTCTCTGCTCTAGGAGGAGATTCAGGTGATAAGGTGTGGGGGGGTTACATTGGTTGCTGGTTACACAAGTCAAAACATAGTAATGACATCATAAAGTGGGCAAAATCTGATCAGCTCATTTTCAGACAGGTTTTTATAGAAATGGATCAGGACAAAAGAGAGAGAATCTTTGTTCCTGAAACTTTCAGAGTCTCTTTACACAGAGGGGACACATGTTGATGTAGAAGAGACATGAAGAAGAGGGGACACATGTTGATGTAGAAGAGACATGGAGAAGAGGGGACACATGTTGATGTAGAAGAGACATGAAGAAGAGGGGACACATGTTGATGTAGAAGAGACATGAAGAAGAGGGGACACATGTTGATGTAGAAGAGACATGAAGAAGAGGGGACACATGTTGATGTAGAAGAGACATGAAGAAGAGGGGACACATGTTGATGTAGAAGAGACATGAAGAAGAGGGGACACATGTTGATGTAGAAGAGACATGAAGAAGAGGGGACACATGTTGATGTAGAAAAGACATGAAGAAGAGGGGACACATATTGATGTAGAAGAGACATGAAGAAGAGGGGACACATGTTGATGTAGAAGAGACATGAAGAAGAGGGGACACATGTTGATGTAGAAGAGACATGAAGAAGAGGGGACACAAGTGGATTTAGCATAATAGGTGACCTTTAACCTGAGACTTACAGAGCGTAGACGGTCATGCCGGGCCGGTCCTCCACGGTGATGGCGGCGTCGCTGGGGGTCGGGGGCTCCTGCTGGTAGCTGGTGGGGATTCTGATGGCGACCACCAAACGGCGAGACAGGACACCGTCATTTCTCGGGTAAACTGTGACGATGATGGGAGCAGCTGTACCGATGGCAACAGCTGAGAGGATGAGACAGAGAGGGAGTTTAAAAATGTAGGGAACGTAGAGGAGAGAACACAGCTATCCTCCTTAAAGGCAGGCAAGGCAAGGCAAGGCAAGGCAAGGCAAGTTTATTTATATAGCACCTTTCAACACAAGGCAATTCAAAGTGCTTTACAAAAAACGAAAGACATTAAGAAAATGGCATTTAAAATCAGTCATTAAAAAGAAAAGATAATAAAATAAACATTAAAAGAAATAATACATGGATAAAAGTTACAGTGCAGTTTAAGATGTGAATAGTTCAATTAAAAGCAGCGGCAAAAAGAAAAGTCTTTAGTCTGGATTTAAAAGTAGTCAGAGTTGTAGCGGACCTGCAGGTTTCTGGGAGTTTGTTCCAGATATTTGGAGCATAATAACTAAACGCTGCTTTTCCATGTTTAGTTCTGACTCTGGGGACAGAAAGCTGACCAGTCCCTGAAGACCTGAGAGATCTGGATGGTTCATCATTTAGCAGGAGGTCAGAAATGTATTTTGGGCCTAAACCATTCAAAGCTTTATAAACCAGCAGCAGTATTTTGAAATCTATTCTTTGACACACAGGAAGCCAGTGTAAAGACTTCAGAACAGGAGTGATGTGATCCACTTTCTTAGTGTTAGTGAGGACTCGAGCAGTGGCGTTCTGAATCAGCTGCAGCTTTCTAATAGATTTTTTTAGTGAGACCTGTGAAGACACCATTGCAG